AAAACATTCGAACTTCGTTCTCGGTTACTGCCGAATGCTCAGAAATTGTGAAATTATCGTAATTCTGATAAAATTTTAAAAACTTCGAAGTATACGAGTGAAATTACAGTATATCTTATTTAATACTCGAACTACCGAATCGTTTCTTTTACAAATATCGAAATGGTACAAGTCAGCCAATTGGATTGCTCGATAGTTCCAGGGTTGAAAGGATTGTCTTCTTTTTGAATTCTTCATTACGCCTTCTGAATCACCGATCGCGCGAGTGCGTCGCTGCGACGTAGTCGCACGAGAGCGCACAGAACTTGAAATTCTCCATGCGTCGCGCGGTGTAATTACCCTTACGCAACGTAATTATGCTCGAAACTTCGGTCACATTATTCTGCACGCCCGGTACCGCCTCGACAGGCGACAATGAGTTGCGTTTGGAAGGATTCCGAGTGACTGCATCCCGAACGCATAATTTGTTTGTTCATGCGTGAGAAATATGGACGCGTTGCAAAGGACGGTTAATAGGGCGACAGTGAACCTATCCACAAACTGGACCAGGTTTGAACTCGACGACTAATTAGAGAGATTTGTATCTTCTTCTTTCTAAGCAACAACTAAATCATTACATGATCATCATTCATCTTCAATTGTTTATCAGCATAGAAACAAATTCCATATGTAAAACTGTAAATGTCCATTCATCGCGAAGTTAAAATATTTTTAACAGTCGAGTTGAATTTCCTTATGATCTTCAATAGAATTTAATGTGAAATCTGTACCACAAATCTGATTTGTCATTATTAATTGACATCTTCACTGTCCACTTTTTGTGATGCATAGGATAGAGAATGTGTTAACAATATTCGATAAGAAACAAATTCTTGTCGTTTCTTGGGAACATTCTTCGATGAAATATTAACTTCACAAAAGATCTGCCAATACGAATCAATCTTAAGTGATACTCAGACACTTTTAAGAAGCAATACAGGGTACAGACTAATCAACGTGCACCTTTCTTGCCCGTGAGCCATAAAGCGAATTCGCTAAACCGAATTACACCTTGTAACCCCTTGGAACAAGTGTCAGCCGAGCCGCGGCGTCGTCTTCGAACGAATCGCCGTCCGGAACGCGCCCTGAGCTCCGTTTTCCCTGCGATTCAGCCGTATCGGCATTTACGACGCCTGGCGGGCCGTTTCGCGGCGGAACGACGGCGCTTCTCAATAAAGTGCCCCTTCTTGGTTCACGGCTTCTGGTGACGAATCCTCGGGCCACGGGTGTACCGAAGAAATTTCACCCCTTTCAACCTATACCAACCATCTTCCTGCAAGCAGCAGGGCTCGACGCGAGTGCACGCGGAAACCGTGCTTCCCTGTGATGGTGCCATAAATTTTGTGTATCAGAAAATTTCGTTCGCCAGGAATTACAGGGTAGAATCAATAACTGGAATGTATAAGGCTGTCGACGTGTTTGAAGGGTTGAAAGGGGTTGGATAATAGTATTCAGGTTTCTAAATTGGAGTTATTTAAGGGATTGAAAGTAGGGCGAGTTTAAAAGATAAAGTACATTGTGTTTCTCAGAGGATAGGACTTCACTTTCTCCGAAATAATAGGGGAAAAAATTTGTTAAGCAAGTCTATTTTCCATATATAGTATCGTGTAGAATATAATGCAGCTTTTAATGTAGTTTGAAAGTTTCTTAATTTTTCATTGGCGTGGTTGGAAAGGTCAGTTATTCAGAGCAGTTGTCAGTAGTTGTCAGTCGAGTTCGTGGTGCTATCGAGCGTTGTTATTCGTGGTCGTCGTTTAGTAATAATAATAGTAGTAGTAATTTTAGCTGTAATCTTTATTTACATATATTTTACACCTTGTATTCCGTTACACTAAATCATACCTCTATACATGTAATTAAACAAGCAGAATCAAATGTGCAAAGTTTTAGTCAAGCAATTAATACATATTCCAAAATACAAACATTCTTACACAGTCTTCATGCGCGACTGATGGTCTGTTCCAACAATCTATTCTTGAGATTACCTATTATTATTCGGATAATCGACGAACCCTTGTAACTAAAAATTTCAACAGTTTCATTCTATCTCCGGGTGAGAGTATGCGACAATGGCGGCACGCAGCTTTGCCTGGACCCGTGTCACGATCGTTAGTTTGCTGATCGGTTTAACGAGGAATTAAAGGCGCGACGTAAAATCGAGAATAAATGGGAACCGTTCGGGTGCGACCCACTTTTATTCCGTCCGGACACTACGCGCACCAGGCGCACATCGGGGTTTTATGGTGTTCGCGTGATTCATGTTTACGGGGGCCTCCCGGGAGCATGGCCATATCTGACGGACGTTAAGTATGTACGTTTGATGGTAATGTGCTGGACGTGACCGCACTAGAGATCCCGCGGTGAAAGCCGCGCGCGATGATTCCTTTACGTTCTGCTGTTTCTTTCTGTTTCTCGTTTCCCCGCTTTCTGCTTTTTTTGATTTTGGAATGGTCGTCGTTGATCTGTTTCGTGTTCGAATTTTTGGTTGATTTCGGAACGATCCTCGTTGACCCATTTCGAGCTTGAATTTTTGGTTGATTTTAAAATGATCACCGATAACTCATTTCACGTTCGAAACTTTGATTAACTTTGGAACGATCGTCTTTGACTATTCTGAGTTCGAATCTTTTGTTGATCTTGGAACGATCGTATTTTTCTCAGTTCGAAATCTTGGTGTATATATTAAAATGACGCAACGTTGATCCATTGATACCCATCTGGATCCTTTTAACAAGAAAAACAACGCGTGGGACGTCTCCAATACAACAAAGTAACTTCCCAACTCTTCTCACAACGAAAGCACCGAATAAAACATTTCTGAAATGATTTTACAAAAATTTCTAGTTCATCTTAATAAATAACAATATTCTCATAAGTTATCAATATAAAAATGAATCAGATGAAAGAGGCTAAAAAGCGGCAGGGAGGCAACGAGCACAATAATATTCCCTAAATTATTTTCCTCCTATAATTATTTGCCTCCAATTATACCTAGGAAAAATCATTCCATTTGTACTAAATAAAAAATTCCCAAAAAAGACTTCGAGTTTCAAGTCTTCAAGCTATCGATCCACAAGATAGAATCCGCGACTAGTGATTACCGGCGTCGTTATAAATTAGCATTGCGGTGGTCGAGCGGCTCGTAAAGATTAAATATTAAAAATTATACGGAGACAGGCGCGCACACGCGGATATGTACATCCGACCGCGGCGACGTACATATCTGCATATCAACGTAGACGCTGCTTGAGATTCTCTGCGCGGCACGTCGTAGTTACTCGTTGCACTCGGAACTTCATCCGCATTCGCGTGTGCGTCCGACGTCGCCGTAACCCCTGCGAAGCCCGTGGCAAGAGACGCCGCGCGCCGAGACGCCTCAAACAACCCCGGGAACGTGTCCGCGTTCCTCTGTATCGACTTTCCGTCCTAAACTTTCTTAACGCACATCCGGCCGGTATTTTTTGTAATGGCACAGGGCAAAGGTTAGCGCATATTGTACATTTCACGTATTTTTTCGGAAATTTGGTTTGAACGCGTTGACTACTGCGAGAAGCTTGAGCTCTCTGTGTGCCTCTTATTCTTTGATATCAGAGATAAATTATTTCGTGTCGCAATACTTAAGTTACACTGTTGTTTGGATGCTAATTAATTTATTATAAGAGCAATTATTATGGAATAATTTTATTCGATGTCGGTGTTCTTATTATAATCGGCTTCAAGCTATTCGGAAGCTTTCTGTCTAGTTTAAGTTTTACTTTTCTATTTTAGATTAAAATTGACTTATCATTCGCTAAAGAAGAAACGTTCGTGTTTTAAGGGAGAAATTATTTCGATTTAAACATTCAAATTTATTTGTTAGAAATTCCAAAGCGGATCTTTTGTAATGAGTTTTATAATTGCGCATGTATTTTCCACGGTAACTGCCTCCATCTGTTTTACTTCATTTTTTTTACAAGCTTCACGCGTCAAGCTGTTCCAGACGGTTCTCGCTAAATTCCCATTCTCCTAGGGCGTGCCGTTCCGCACGGGCACCAATGCTTTGGTCTTCGAGCGTCAGTCGACCGATGAACTCGTCAATTTTCGGTCCCGGCGCGTGTGAAGCTGTCGACTGGCATACGCGAACTCGATTTCACGAGACTGCGATAGATTGACACTTTCGCGGCGCGACCCTTTTCACGGGAAATATCGCGCGATAGACAGCTCTGCGTTGTTTCCCGCCTGAAAGACCTTGAAATTCACCGCGAATTCAGCGTGTTTCGGTGTTCCCGGAATTTACATCGATACCTCATTCCCGCTTGTCTCTTCGCTTAACCCTTTGCGGCGAAGAATGCGCAATGTATACAAAACCTGTAAATTCTGGCAACTTGTATATCGAATGCTGAAATAATAGAGCGTAAGCAAATTTAGTATTTTCAACATGAAAGTTTAATCTGCACCAATTAATATTAACCACTGCGAAAATCCTCATTTTCGATTTTTCTTGAATCAGAAAAAGCTGATTCCAGATGAAATCAGGGTCGAAAAATACAGAAATAAATTTTCGATTGTATTCTTGACTTAACGATCATTTTACGCGTCTATTACGAATTATTGCCTTGGGGCACGTTTACTGCAGAGCTGGGATACTCGATAAAAACGACGATGAAAGCGAAGAAATACGCTTTTTATTCATTTTATGTACCATATACAGTTTTACTATATTTGAAAGGTTTTATCGTAAAGGGAATAGATAAACGGATTGAATTGCTGTTTGACTATCGTTCCACAAATTATTTCAATTTCAGTTCAGTATCAAAAACTGCAGTCTTTTTATAGGATACATGCAAATGGAGTAGAATGTATTATAAAGAAACGATATCGTGGGACCGTTTAATCCGAGGTTCCGGAAGCACGGAGGTTTCGAAACGATCACATTCCGACGGGACAGTATTTAAAAGGTACCCGTTTATTGTCTGTTACAGTTTGGACAGAGATCAGCCGTTCACATTCCAGCTGGGAGTCGGCCAAGTTATTAAAGGCTGGGACCAGGGATTGGTTGATATGTGCGTGGGCGAAAAGAGGAAGTTGACCATACCGCCGGCGCTTGGTTACGGCGAGAAGGGTGCCGGAAACGTAATTCCTGGAGGTAAGATTCTCTTCCTTCTTGTTTAACCTCCTGCGCTGAAAAGACGTGTCACGCACGACCAGATTATTTCTGTTCCAAAGTAGCCAATAATATCTTACACGCATCGATAGTCTAGTCGCGTTAGGTGTACTATGTTACTCTGAAATGTATCATTTTATACAGAATGATTAATAAACAAAATTAGTGTATATATCAGCGTGAAATAGGTGAAATCAAAATTCTTCGCGCAAGATTTGTCAAATCTCTAAATTAAATTTCAACGCAAGAGGTAAATCTTCTTAGGACTCTAGCGTAACCTAACTTTTTTATCCTTTTCATATGTAATTGATTTTTATATGCTGATTTACACAAAAAATAAATGCCTTTTACGCTAAACAAAATACATTATACAATAAATTATGGAAAAGACGTGAAGTTATCTTTATTTCTTAAGAAAATTGTGTGAATTTTGATGAGTGTTTTTGAAAATACATATCTTCCGAGGTATTTCTAGATGGTAGACAATAAAATGATATGTTATTAAGAGGATTTAAATACTTATATATATTTTTTATTATTTCGGAGAAAATATTATATAAATAATAATGAACGAGAATAATACAAGGTATCAATCGTTTAAATGAGTATTTATAAATCAATATTATATGTAAATTCCCGAACAATAACTGAAATTTCATATTTATTCTAAAATCAAGCATTCGTTGCACTCTAGAGAGAAATTTCGCTTCTATACCATTATTGGAGGTTATTGCATCTTTGAAACGATCGGTTTTCATTTTTAGAATACAAATAAGTTTAAAATTGAATAACTCTGGACCATCGATGAAATAAAATTTTTAATTAGATCGCAGGATCGAAATGAATTGAGGATATAGTTCAACATTTGCGAGGCCGCGAGATTTTCTTTAATCATTATTAACAGAGACGGATGAAAAGAAAACATGGAAGAAGCAGAAGGGTACGCTCCTATTTACAGAGAAAATACTGTTGGCGTTTCTGTACCAATGTCTCATTAAATTTGATTTTACTTTAAACGTTACTCTTCCGTTTGAACGCTATGTTATTGCAGTAAGCGCGAAATTGAATTTGTAATGTGCTAACGTTCATAAGATAGAGACCAACCGTTTTTATCACTAGATTTTCAAAATCCATCAGTTCGACAGATTGAATTTTATAACCGTTATTTGGCAAATATTTGCATTGATTTTGATTCATGCAATTATACGAATATGTTACCTGAATAGTCTATTTTTAAATTCCTAATTTCAAAGATCTAAACGGAGGAATATCAGTTTCTCCAGGAATAACAGAACACAAACCGCACAATAAACGTCTGTAAACCTATCTTTATTATTCGAATTCGAGTACCAACTGTGGTCTCCAAAGGTAAAACCATTTTTATCAGACCGTCGATATTATTTAAATTAATTCCCCATTTCGCTTAGAGTAACTCGAAACTCTGCAATGACGACGCTTCAATGAACCTCAACGAAAGTGAAATAGTTCCGCAACGCCACCGGCTATATTCTATTGAAATCGTTAATTGAACGGACATTTCTCTCATATGAAAAAATAATATTTACGCGCAATTTATCGTTCTACCAATGGTGAAACAATAACTGTTTGCCGAGCGAGCACAATAGTAGTTAACGGCTATAGAAAAACACAATAAAAACCCATTGTCCTCTGTTATTAAAAATTTCACGCGTAAGCAGCCGTTGACGTGGCCACGTCATTTCCTGGCTAGTTACATTCATTTTGTATTCCCAAAAACCCTCTCCCGTATAACATTGAATTCATTATTCACTTTCGTTATTATATTTCAACTTCCCCACAAAATTGGCAGTTCAAATTTATTAATAGACACTCCATAAAACCGTTACCAAATTTCATTCTCGTCTAAAGTTTCTTGAAAAGCCATTGTAAAAATTTGAAGTTGAATATTTCGTTTCCAATAGAATACAATGAACGCCATAGAACTACAAACATGATATTGTAAAACAATATTTTTAGTTTTCCTTTTTTTTTGATACTGTACCTATGTTCAAGCGTAAATCGCGCAAAAGCGCTGCAGAACTGCAGCACTTCTAATTTTAACTTCATCGATAGCAAATGATATCTTTCACATATAATTTGTTTTGTAATTTCTACCATAATTTTTATGTTGTATCCAATATAGTGTAAATATACCGAATACGCTGTATTTACAGTATATATGTATACCTCGAAAGCTGCAGCCACAATTTTTACCCTTTGCAGACGAATGTTAACATTTTGTCGATGTCAAACCTACACATTCTAACAGTAAGTCGCAAACAAATTACTTAATTACTCAAATAGCAAGATACCAGCACACAATTTCCTTCTTCTCTGTTATTTAACCCTTTGACTGCGGCGCACGCTCGCGGAGAACCATCAATACAGTCGGCGCGAAATTCCTATGCCAGTCTCTGCGATTAGTTGTCCACTGACCAAACTGCACATTCCCTGAATTTCAATTGGTACTTGAATACAAAGAAAAAGATCCAAAATTTATAATCAGCAATAAATTTAATTTACAATTTTAACATAATGCTAATGAAGATAATATAAACTGCTGTACGTAATCAAAGAATGACGAAAACGATTTAATAATCAATTTGTGTGTAATATATTCTAAAACATAGATCAATGCATAAACCTACATCGCATTCTCTGCATTGATAGAAAAATATAGAGGGCCAAACGGTTAAACATCTGATATATATAATCTGGCTTCATTTGCTAATTATACTTTAACACGTTGAATGCTACACGATTTTATAAAGTAGAATACCCAAAATGGGAAAAATATAATATTAAATCATTTCATTGAATTGCGTTATTATTGTTACATGTTCATCCAGCTGAATGTCACCGCATTAGATAGCATTATTTATAATGTAGAAATGTTTTCAAATAATCATCGTTTAATTCAGTGAACTATAGTAATTCGATTCCATCACCGGTGACCCCGTATGGCGTTCAACGTGTCAATCAATCTCCGTCGTCAAAGGATCCACGAGCCACCAGTCTCCGTTGCGCTCCGGTTAGCAGCTGAAACAACGAAAAAACGTTTGTCGCGGCCATCTTGATTTGGAAAAACAAGGGGAAGAGTTATAGGCTCGGTGGAAAAATCCGGTCGGCTTCCGCGAACGATTACGGAAACGTCCTCAATCATTACCGAATCCGTTTATCGGCTGCCAAATGTATTCTTCCCGCGGAACAATGGCCGCGCTCGCGCGGAGACAAAAGGTAGCGCTCTCCATAAAGCTGCGGAACACTTTCAGCGAAAGATATACGCGGATCGCGCGGCGGGCTCGCGATTTATCTAACACAGGCTCCCGAAAAAATGAGCGTCGCGCCAGTCGATGTTGATCCGGCCGAAAGCCGGACTCGGATAGCGGT